ACAGTACTTTTTTTGTTTTATATTAATGAAGAATTAATCCAGTCTTGTGCTTTGAGTCTTCTGTCCTACCTAGGTTTGAGTGTTTTATTTATCTGTGTAGGAAAAATATGAATGATTATGACATGATTTACTACTGGGTTTGTGCAGAGGTCAACCCCCCCCCCCCCCCCCTCAGGGCGGTGCTACTGACTGAAGTGTCTTTAGGCCATTCCCAAAAGGGGGGACATTAACATGTTCTTATGCACAGTAGAATTGTAATTGTAAATGGGCTGATTCATCAATGTCATGCTCATAGCTGTGCCTGAACTGCAACAGGGAACTGCTGCTTTTTCTTTCCTAATCCTTACTCTCGTCATTTTTCCTCTACTTCTTTTGTATGTTTGTCACACTCTTGTGACCCACTGTTTCCAGGGTGCCTTGATAGTCGAAGCAGACTTTGTGCTGTTGAAGCTAGAGAGGTGAGCAAAGTAAGCCTGATTCCCTGTAAGGACTTCTCTGTTGACATCAATCCCTAGGCGGTCATATGACCTTATGCAGTTGCGAGCGCCGTAAAACCTCTACTAAAACTTTAAAAAGCAGAGGAGGGGAATGGAAAAAGGGTGGTTGAGGGGTGCCGCCGGCTGGTAGTGGTAGGTCCTATTTCTTTTTCTTTTTTTTTCCTTTGTTAATTTTTATACGTCTTGCTTTTTTTCCTGCACTAAATGAACTCCAAATATATGTCAATATGTTTCTTTTTCGTCTTCTTAGCTTTTCTAGTAGTTAGATTTTGCTTCTCTGACCTTTCTTCAATATAACTACCATGATAGCACCCTGTCTCTTGCCAGCCATTCTGCATGTCTGAGTTGTTAAGGTACCAAACCAGGTTTCTGTCGCGTTCCCAGTGTGCGTCTCTTATACTCAAACTTTACAAAGCCCAACTCACAATTTGAACAACAATTACAATATGACAGTTGTTTGATCAGAGACCTGTGAGTGGTTGGCGGGTGCTCTGGCATGGCTTGCTCCTCATTTCTTATCGAACATCTATCGTTCTTACCACTTCTACTTCTTTTTATGTTTGTTACTCTTTTGTAACACCTCTAATAGTCAGCAATTGAATGACTTAATTGTGTTGCAAGTACAAAACTCTTACTGAAATAAACAAACAAAATGATCAATGACCCTTGTTCTGACACGGAAGGTTCGGTCGTGGACTGCTGTGTTGTGCAGTATCGGGATTGTACATATATATATATATATATATAAATATAATACATATGTGTATTATATAAAAATTCACCCTGTTGCAGGGCGGATGTATAACGCCCGAGCCCAGCTTTGAGACGACTTGTTGTTTTTCAGTGCTATCATCATCAAAGTGTTGTTTTTCTTCGCTGACGAGATTACGTACATGTACGTACGTATGTATAATATGATTGAAAAAGTTTTGGGGATTTTTTTTTTCACCTATTTCTTATTTGTAGCTTTTGTGTACTGCCTATGTCTGAGAGCGGCGTTGTGTCTGCACTCTTTTTATGTTTGTTTATTTGTTTGAACGGATGAGCCCAACAGAAGTTTAGATGCTGATATGTAGATTTATCCTCCTTCTTAAAAATTGTACAAAATGTTTATTCTTTTTGTTTTGGATGAAGCAAAAACAAAAGAGAGAAACTAAGACATCAAACAAATATGACAGTGTTGGTGTTGAAGTTGATACAGATTGTTGTCATGGAGACATGTGTTTGCAGATATATCATACCTTGTGTGTATTTGTATGAATTAAACCTTCTGAATTTTCTCTTTCATAAAACGCCTTGTTTTCTCATTTGACGCCTGAGAAATTTGTTATTGTGTGCGAGCACAGTCAGCTCCGTTGGTATTATGGTTAGCTATGGTGATCTTGGTTCGAATCCCTGTTGGGAGTTCAGTTGCTCTTATGTGATGCTGTGGTGACACAATAAGGTCTTATAAGTGTCGAAGATTAGAGGTGTTATTTAATGAGAGTAAAGGTATGCACAAAGAGAACGCTTGCACGCGATAAAAGCGAGTGCGTTGGGACAAGCGCTTGAAATGTTGTTCTAAATTTGCTTGTTGCGCTCAAGAAGTACGCTCGCTTTGTCACGCCTGAGATTTCAAGCGTAAAGAATCAAAAGTTAATTCTTTCTCGCTTGCAAGCGTGTACTTGGTACCGCCCCCCCCCCTTTGTTGTCTGGTCACGGCTTGGGTAGTGCGGTGTGCATTTTCTCTCAGTCTCAGTGACAGTCGGACCGGAATGGATGATCAGCCGTGTTTAAAATACATGCAATTTGGGAAAAAAGAAGGAAAGACCACACAAACCGTACCGTCGTGAAACGTGCTTGGAAAGATAGTAATAAGCGAAAAACTGCCAGTTGTACCAGTTCTTAGTTATCTTTGGTTCAGTTTTTTATCAAATATGCTTGAATTTCCCTCGGTTCATTCTCAGGTTGGACTGAAAACGTGAAAGGCTCCTTTTAAGTAAAGGAAACAAGTGGTGATGTTCACCTTCCAATCGCCCCCTTTAATTTATCTCCTGGACCCCCATTCTTTTGCGTTTTCCTAGGATAATTTCCGGCAAAGCACTGTGTGGCAACAATAGTTCGTCTTTACTCGAATCTGCCATGGCGCCAAATGTTCAAATTTTGATCAGTCGCAGGCACGATTTGCAATCTTTCTATACTATGTGTACACCTCAACAAGCTAGCATTTATCATGAGCAAGCGTTCTTTTTGTGCATATCTTTACAAACACAAAAAAAGGAAGAGAGATCAGAACGATAGATCTTTGATAGGGCAGAAGGAGCAAACCACACTAGAGCACCTGCCAACCACCCACGGGCAGATCACACAGGTGATTAATAACTTAACAGTGGTGAAAGGAATGTTGAACATGATCCATTATCGATGGTGGCACTGAAGAAAAGTAGAAGATGCAGACCAATGGAAAGTTCACAAATAGTGACATCGCACAATACAAACCATCATCTGAAGTGACCATGGTCAAAATAGTTTCACATAAAAACATTCTTTAAAAAGCAACCAAAAGTCTTTACATTCTTTTTTGATCAATAGGTACATGTATTCAACAGATCAAAGAAATAAATGATACCCCCCACCCTTTTCACCCACCCCAAACAAGAAAAAAAAATATCACATAGCTTGATCACTAGTCAAGAACTACTCGTCAAGTACATCAGATATACATCACAACAGCAAAAAAACAACCATACATTTATTTGTTCATAATAACACATTCGTCATGGACGGAGAGGAGAGAAAAAAATTGTCATTATCTTCAACATAAACAAGTTGAATGATTCATTTGTCACTATTTTCAATCCAAAAAAAATTGAATGACACATTCATATTGTTGAAAATTGACCATCTTTGCTGAAGTAGGAACAATAAAACAAAAAATGACATACAATAGTGTAAAAAAAATTACTATCTAAAAATGTTTTTTTTTTAAAAGAGAGACAAACACAACATGTATTGTCTGCATCTCTCAATACACACAAATGACTCTGAGGTATAACAGTATAACCATGCTGTAAGCTACTGGGAGAATAGGAAACTTTGCGGAGTTAACTGATCTTTCAAGCCATAATAACAGTGTGGAAAAGAAATATAAAATACAGAGTAACATGAGAGAAAAAATAACAATCTATTTAAGAAAAAAAAACTAGACAATCACATGCTCATATTCTTTGCCTCAATAAAAACAAGTGACTGTTGTATCACCCTGCCTTACAAGGTGCGGGCGAGGAAAAATCTTCACGGGGATAACTCTTTTACTGGAGACTGTTACGCTATGCTACAGAAATATAAACCAGCACAAAAACTTAATGAAAGGTGCTCCTGAAATTTCTATCTCTGTAGATTCTAAATATATACAATGTTTTGGGTTATCATATAGTTCCGTATTACACGTTTCAAAAAGCGGTCAAATCAGGCGCTCTTCAATTTTCGGGCATGTGGAGTTATTGGCATCGTCTTAAACCTTGCTTATTTGGCCTGCTTTTCAGGAAAAAAATACCCATCTACCTGCAATAGAAGTCGAGATATTTGTGATTGAAGGAGGTGGGGGTCGTCTGGTTTCAGCGAGAAAATGGCTGCCAAAGTTAGGTGACTGCCAAAGCATGAAAGTCCTTGGAAACTGAAAATTTGCATCTTTTTGTGCTTTTAATAAAGGTTTTACAGTAAAATCCACACATAGATGTATTTTTAATGCGCTATTTAAGATATGTCCAAACAAAAAAATTGAAAAAAAAATGCTCAACCAGTAGATAAATGCCGGTTCCTTTGATTTCATTATATTAACGAGCGCCTGATTTTAACCAAGATGCCTCACATGCTCATGAAAAATGGTGAGAGATTTTAATGGAATGACAGTTACAGTGTGCTAAAGAATATAAACTAAAAATTATATAAAAGCTTCATATAATATTATTCAAATTATTGCATACATTCCTTACGGCAAGAAAGTTTAAAACAAAAGATATTCATTATAGGTGACGTCGGTGGTCTAGGAAGAATCTCAACTGCAAGATCATGGGTTCAAGTGTTGGCCTCTCATTCAAAGGTCCCCGGTTCGAATCCGGGCAGCGACCGAAAAACTTTCTTCTCTAAAATTGTCTCCTTTCACCTCCTTTCCTGCTCTCTAGCAATGTTCTGTCGTCTGCTTTTGTCTTCCTCTTTCTGCCCACACCCCCTCACCTCCTTTGCCCCCTCCTCTAGGCTCCTGACTCTTTCTGCAGCCTTTCTACTGCTATTCCTTGACTCCTTACAGCTATCTTTCTGCCACACCCCTGATCTTCTGGTAGGAAAGATCTACACCTAGCCTTCTTGGATAAGGGCGAAAAATCTCGGAGGGCCTGTGTGCAAGTTGCGCACGTTAAAGATCCCTTGGTGGTCTAAAATCGATAAGAGTAGGCTTCGGCCGCCACCCGGGCAAAATTCATAATTTCCTACCAACTAAAAGTATTAGGTGTGTCCCGCGCGCTCATATGACCTTATGCAGTTGCGAGCGCTGTAAAACGCTTACCCCCCCCCAAAAAATGGGTTCGAATCCAGTCAGGTCAGAGGCCTGACGTTGGGTCTTTGGGAAAAACACTGAACACAAATTTTCCAGATTTTGTCTTGATGGGATGGGTAACCGGCTAGATTCTGCTTTAGTTTCAGAGGACCAGGCCTCAAAGTGTTAATGTTATCATTTTACAAACAAGGGAAATTATCTGCTGTCAGTGTCCATATCCTGTTTATGTGCCAATCACTACCTCAAAATTACAAAGTTCTATCGGACATTTTGGGCCGTTTTGAATTAAGATCATGAGATAAAAACTACATGTTCCATCTGCTCTATCAGAATTGTCAGATTATTCTGAGCCGTTATGAAGATATTCAAAGAATTAGTTTCGAAAAAGCTTGACATGATGTGAAACTTTAAATCTTTGACGTCAAATTTCTCAAAAACTTTGATAGAACTTTGTAATTCCGAGGAAGCGCAATGTCACACCTGTGTCAACGCACAATCAACTGCAAATATAGAATTATTCCATCAACAAAAGAGACCCATGCGGTCAAGGTCAGGAGTTCTCCTTGCCCGCGCCATTGACCACATGAGTGGACTTGAGGATGTGATCGGCATTAAGCACCAGGCCACACAGGAGCTGCTGTAGCTCCTTCAGACATTTGTCCGACTTCTTGGCTGCCTCCTCACCAACCCCTAGAAGGGCGTGGTGCGTCGCAGGATGCTGAGCGGCATCCTTCACGAAGGAGGGATCATTGGCTGAGGAGGAGGGTGGCAACGACACAGCCGGAGAGTGGAAACCTGGTCTGCTTGCATCACCAGTGACGCTCATTGCTGCTGATGTCATGTTGGTGGATGGATTGCTGAGGATTTTGGCAGCCGTCACTGTTTGCTTCCGAAGTTCTTTCTGATGATGTCTGGGGGAGAAAAAAAAACCACGCTATATTTGGGGCATACGGAGTTATTGGTGTTATCTTAATGCTTGTTCTTTTCTTTTGCGTTTGATGAATAAAATACATTTTTTAACTTGAATAGAAGTTGAAATTTTTTTAGACTGAAGGACGTGGGGGTCACCTGGTGTAAGAGGCACAATTAGTGAGAAAATGGCTGCCGATGATTAATGATTTCCAAAAGCTTGAGTGTCTTTGGAAACTGCTAAATTTATATTTTTATTCTTTTTACGAGCGTTTTTTAATAAAACTGACACAGAAATTTGTGGGGGTTTTTAATGGATATATAAAAAATGTTGAGACAATAATTTTAAAATCACTAAAAATTATGGTTTCTTCAATTTTGTTATTTCTACGAGCGCCTTCTTCCACCACGCTGCGACACACACACAGGGGAGTGCAAAAGTCGGTATACAGTAAGTACCACGTTGTTATGACACTTAATTCAATAAGATTATTTGAGGAATGCGTCGTATATACAAACAGCAAGCAGTTTGGGCATCTGAACATTGAAGTGACAGATTTCTCTGAATTGAACCAGAGCCTCCTAAATCAGGGGGTCAAGGTGCATTGTTTACAATGAAACAGGAGGTAAATCGAAACCCTTATGTCACATCGATCAATTGGTCTTTAACTCATCAAGGACGAAGCGGACACATAGGTCCGACAGCAGCAGATCAAAAGTAACGTTGAAGGATATTTCAAACCTCCATGTACACTAGAAATACAAGCTTGCATAATATATCATCGCTTACATCATTGTTATCTGTCTTTTTAAGTACCAGATAAAGGAAACAAAATTGAAAACTACGTATGAATCACGAGGTAATGCTTCTTTTAGTATTCCCGAATATCGTGTCTTCAAGCGTTCGAATGAGCAGAAAGCGTGTCCGCAAAGAGTTAAAGGAAAGACAAAAGGCTCAAATCAGAAAGAAAGTATGGAGGGAGTGGATCTAACACAAGCTGTAACTGTCAGAATTACAAAGACAAAAACAAAACACCCCACCCCAGACACCCAAGATTTTTTTTTTTTTAATTAGAAACTTTCAGCTTAAAGTCAAAACTGTGACATTTACAAATGTTTTTTTTCAAGTAAGTTTATTCAGTGTTGAAGGCCATTGGTCCACATCACATCACATAAAACACTCATTTGTTAAATAAACTTTCCATAATGAAAAAGTACAGGTTGTGCACATATCACTTGTCATAGGTTAAACATTGCATATTTCTGTCACTGGGCCAAGTCACATCAGCAGCAAGGAAACTGCAAAGCTTCATAAATGGATGTCTGAGAAGGATAGTGGGGACCAAGTGGTACGATCGAGTTACAAATGCTTAACTGTGGGAAAGAACAAGCCAAAGGCCAGTAAAGGAAGACATACAGGTGAAGAAATGGAAATGGATTGGGCACACCCTGAGGAGACCCCGACAAGCATCATCAGACAGGCTTTGACGTGAAATCCACAAGGAAAACGTTGGGAAGGAAGACCAAAGATGACATGGAGGAGAGCGGTACAAGCGGAAATGGAAAAGATGGGGACATCATGGAAACAGCTAGAAAAGGATGCACAGGACAGGCTTCGCTGGAAAAATGTTGTTGATGGCCTATGCTCCACTGGGAGTTAAAAAAGGCAAGAGAGAGGGCCGAATCAGTCTGGGGGAATTAACAAATTTCCTTTGATGGGTAAAAATACAAAATAAAGTGAAATTCATCTTCAATTTCATGAGAGTTACACCTCTAATGTAAGGCTTTTCTTCAAGCTCATGAAGAGAGAAATGGGAGAGGGGGCAAGGGGAAATCACACCCCAAAATTCTTTTTTCAACTTACCTGAGTCGGGAGAGAATTTCGCCCATGGTTCGCATCTTGCTGCGCGTCTCTTGCAACATGCGTCGGGCGCGGTCCCAGCCGGCGCGCTCCTCCATGAGGCAACTCTCCGTAACAGAGCGCAGCTGTCGCTCTTGCAGCACCTGGGCCTTCAGACGCTCTTCATTCTCGTATGCCTGGACGCATACACACAGAAAATTCCGGCCATTAAAATATGGTTGATATACAACAAATGATGTGACACTTGATGAGAAATGATGAGATGAGATGATTGTTGCAAGCTTTGCTTGAGCAGTATCGCATTTATAGTAATACTATCATCATTATTACTATTTTTATACCATAACCATTACTTTTATCATTATAGCTGTTAAAACAGATGTCTTGACATAGTACCTGATATTGCTAGAGATGTCATTAAAATTTACAGTGTATCAAATGTGAGGCATCGTGTTGAAATCAGGCGCTTGTCAAAAAGATGAAATTGAATAAACCAGCATTTTTCTGCTGGTTTGTTAATTTTTTTCAATTTTCTGTATTTTCGCTCAACATCTTTTACATCTGTTTCAAATCATATTTTTGTGTGACTTCACTGAAAAACGCTGATTAAAGACACAAAAGTAAATTTTCAGTTTACGAAAGTCACAAAACTTTGGCGGCCGAACAACTCTTTGCTTGAGCATTATCACATTTATATTAATACTACCATCATGAAAACTAGTAATATAATCATTTTCTTAGTTATTATCATAATTACTATTATCACAGCGGTGTTGACAAAGTACTTGATATTGCTAGAGATTCCATTAAAAATTTGCAGGGTATCAAATAATCTCCCAAAACTCAGGGGGGGGGGGTGTCGAGTACCCGACCTGGATGAGGGAAATACAAGTGGTACGAGCAACTATGTCACAAAGAATGAGGTTCAGAAAAGTTGGAGGATATGGAACAATATCAAAATACTAGCCCAGGACAGAGAAAGGTGATGTTTGTTCGTGGCCTGTACCCTGATGCAGGGTGAGAAAAGCAGTGATGATGATGATGATGATGATGATGATGATGATGATGATGATGATGATGATGATGATGATGATGATGATGATGATGATGAGCCACTACAACAACGCAAGACCCTCGACCTCCCATACTTTACATTACTTTTCCGATCCAGCGGCCATTTGGGTTCTAGCCATTCGGTCTGGACTCAACCCCCCCATCAGAAAGAAACGAGAGAAACCATTTTGTAAGGTGTGGTTGCAAGACCCCCCCCCCCCATCCCATCATACATAAGACGTGAGTTTCATTACTATGTGGAGAAGTCTTATTTTAACGAGTACCTCCATCCTTCTGGCTGAGATGATGCTGTATCCAACTCAGCAAAAATCCCCCCCCCCCCCACCTCTCACCCCCACCCCACCCCCTCCATTCACCTAGCCAGGCACATGATAACCTGGCTCCTTAAAAGACTCAACTCTCAGCATTCGATGAGCCAGTTCAGCCAGCACACAGCACCACTCCACTGTTTCTGTCATAACAAAAAAATCGACTAAACTACAGAAATCATCTATCTATTTATAATCAAACTGTCTAGTGTTTACTACTTGGACAATTCATTTCTTCTCAGTTTGGTGTCATCTTACAAAGGTTAAATAGGAGTGAAATTAAAGAGAAGTTTGTGATACTGAAATACCGGATGTCAAAATTGGTTGCACACAAAAGTGATATAGCCTTCAGTAACCTAAGAATTAAGTTGTATCAATCGGGGCGCACAATATGTCTACTTCATTAACAGTCAAACAAGAGACCTGGTTGAGCTGAATGGCCATCTCCTGCATCTCTCCCTCCAGGCGGTCAGCGTACGCCTGCTCCACCTGGTCACTCCCAATAGGGGCGTGGCTGTGCCACCGGGCAATGGCATTGGTCATTTTTTTCCGTGGACCAAATAACCTGTGGTAAACAAATTTCAATTGTAAATCTTCTTAGGAGGAGGAGGAGGAGGAGGGGGAGGAGGGGGAGGAGGAGGAGCGGGAGGAGGAGAGGGGGAGGGGGAGGGGAAGGAGGAGGGGGAGGGGGAGGGGGAGGGGGAGGGGGAGGGGGAGGGGGAGGGGAAGGAGGAGGAGGAGTAGGAGAAGAAGAAGAAGAAGAAGAGAAGAAGAAGAATTGCATTTATATAGCGCATATCCGTGCTCTACAGCAAGCTGTAAGTGCTTTACAACTCTATGCTTCTGCATACTTCTGCTAGAGCTCAGGGAGCAACTGAGTGTAAGGTCTTCCTCTCACTGTTCGGATGATTTTTACATACATGGCCGTTTTCATCTTCGTAGAACTTAGAAAAAAGTCAGAATCATCCCTTGCCTGACAGGCAGCCACATGCCATTGTCAAATGCAACCTTAAAATTTATACTGACTTCAGAGATTTCAGCTTTGAGAACAAACTGATTTTTAATTTTACCAGGACGGCAGTTCAGAGGGCCACAAATGTTTTCAAATTTTAGAATTGCTAAATGATCTTTAATTCAACCTCGACAAATTCCTACACTGAACCTTCGAAATTGTTCATCCTTATCAGAGAAGACTAGGAGCTCGATTACACCTATCCTAGGATCAGGGGGTAGTAGGAAATATGAGAAAAATACCTAAAGCTGGCTGGGATCGAACTCCAGACCTTCAGATTGACAAACAAACACCATACCTGTTGAGCTATTCAGCCCCCTTCTGCAGCACTAAATGACCGTTATTGTGTTGATGAGTTTACTCAACGCTGAACAACTGTTTTTGTGTCAATGTGCTTCTCTTTACTCAATCAAACACTAAACATGATTGTGTTGATGTGTTTCTCTTTAGTAAAATAAAACACTAAATGACTGTTATTACGCTGATGAGCTCTTCTTTAGTTAAACAAACAGTAAATGACCATTATCATGTCATGCTTCTTTATAATACAAAATAACTATTATTGAGTCGATGTATTTCTGTTTACAGAAACAAACACTAAGCAACTGTGATATGTCTGTGTGCTTCTCTTTATTCAAACAAACCTAACTCAAGACTCACTTGATCCCAATTTCCTTCAGGTCGTTGTCGGTGAGCGACAGAAACACCTGGAGGTCAACGTCCTGCTCCTCAAACTTGTCCAGGTATTTGCTCAGCCCAAGTTCACCGAGCATCTGTGCCAGGTCACGCGGGCTGGCGTCTGGGCGGCCCGGCTGCTCCAACCACCCGATGGCACTACTGACGACCGGCTGGGACGTGGCGTGACCTGGAATTATGACACTGCCAGTGGCTGCCATGGCGATGGAGAGCGAGGTGGGTGCCAGGGAAGACTGGCCAGGAAACATTGCTGTGGACGGAGGTAGGACACGCTGAGACATTTGGGGGCGGTTCACACCAAAGGAAGGGTCCGGCGGGCGAGGTCCCATTTGCGGAGGAGGTGGGAGAGATGATCCCCCGTCACGGGGTTTCCCAACAACAAGGGGGGGGCCGTGGGTTGGCAGGCTCAGAGGATGACTGGCAGGGGGAGCTGACGGCGCTGGGGTAAGGGGAGCTAACGCAAATCCTCCTTCTCCTCCTCCTCCGCTTGTCTGCCCAGCCGGGACGGTGGCAGTCGACGATGGGTGGGGCTGCGGGGGGTTCGGAGCCAAAGTGAGAGGGGTGGCTGGGTTGATGAGGTGAGAGAGCAGGCGAACATTGTCCGAGCCCGGGGGAGGGTCAGCGTCTAAAAAAGCGGGCGGCGGGTTGCGATGAACACTACCCGGGTGAGCTTGAGCAGAGACTTGCGGCAAGGACTGGAACTGTCCCAGGGTGTCGATATCCCGATAGAAATATTGCTGCGGGACGCTCTGAAGTCCCTGATCTGCCTTGCCGCTCACGCCAGGAGGGAAGGAGCGGGGAGGTAGCAAGTTCCCGGGCTGGCTGGCTGGTGCGGGCGGGTTTCCCATTATGGGTTGTATTGCGGCAACATTGTTGTGGCTGTGCCGGTTGTGCAGGGGGTGGTGGTGGTTGAGGCGTGGCAGGAATGCCCTGGACGAAGGCTGCTGAATCTGCTGCTGCTGTTGCTGAATGTGCTGCTGCTGAATGTGCTGCTGCCGCGGCTGAGTCTCCAGGTGTTTTTGCTGAAGGTGACTCCCATGTATGCTGGACAGAGATGAGGAGTTGTAAAAGGAAGGAGCACTCGTGGGATCACCAGGTAATGAAGAATCTCCAAGTAGACTCTGAGGTGATCGTTGATCGATGCCAGCACTATCACCAGCTGGTCTCATCCTTTCAAGCCTCTCCATCACCCTCTCACCACTTAAACATTTGTCAGGAACTGGTCCAGAAATTTCTGAAAAAATGTCAGTTACATTCAAGCCAGTATTGACCACACCCTTATGAGGCCCCAACTTCCCCCCTATATCCCCCTCCCCCCGCTCTGTATCATCCCCCACACTCAAATTATTCAGAAATCTGTTGACAATTTCCGTTTGCGTCATATTCTCTAGCGGCAATGCGTCACTTCCTTTCGGCAAAACGCCCTCTGCGGGGACTCTATTTCCTGTTGCACGAGAGTCCCCTGCTTCAGGAAACGGAGCAACTCCGACGGGAAAAGAAACCTCAACAGGAAAATAATCCCTGAGAGGCGAGACCCCTCCGCCCACTCGCTCCCCAGTCTGAAGGGACTCTTGCAAATCTCCCGAACCAGGAACTATCAACGGAGCTAACCCACCAGCCCTCGCATTTCTGTTATTCCCATCAGCGCTGTCGCAGCGAACTTCCTGACCAACACCATCGAAACCGCCACCACTAGCGTCGTCGTTGTCAGCAGCAGAACTCTTCAGCTTCCCAACACCAGAAAGGCCAGTTCGTGCGGCGTAGGAAGGAGAGTCGTCGCTGTCGATGCTGCCCTCACGGCTGAGGCCAAGGGCTGCCATCAGACCGCCGCTGGAGCTGGAACTGCTCTTAATGGTTATGGCCCCTGTCTTGGTGAAAGCATTGCTGTCGTCGTTGCAATCGTCAGCATCTGGGGGTGCAATCGATAAAGATAATCCACTTAGAACTCAAATCAAAGATAATAATACGATACTCCACAAAGAGATACAATCCTCTAAGAGATACAAATAATCCTTGAAATTTAAAATACACCTCATTAGTGGATAGCATCTAAAACTGGTGGTTCCGTGATTTTCCTTTCATCCTGGGGTAGGAGAGAAAGCAGTGGCTGTAGGTGCAATGCCACAAACAAAAACCCAACTCCATCACAGAGGGATTGTAAGAAAAATGAATGGGTATGTTGGTGTCCGTTGTATTATATAGAGAAGTTGTTTGAGGAGATAAAGAAGAGAAAGACGCTATTAAGAGCATAGTTGCTGTGTGTTGCTGAAATACAAAAATTATAATATTATTATAATAATAATAATAATAATAATAATAATAATAATAATAATAATAATAATAGTAATATAATATCAATTGAAAGTTAGATTTTCCTCCCCCCTCCCACAGCAACCAAGACCGTCCTCTCATCCCTAGAGATGGGGGCAGGGGAAGGCATGGCAGGTCCCAGAGGGTTAATGTTGTCAACAAGCAAGAAGCAAATGGTCTCTCCATTTCTCCGCAGTCATCTCCATTTCTCCGCAGTCATAGGCATAGGGCTCTCCGATAAGTGCATGCTTAATACATGTATGTAGCTGAGTATTCCCTACGTAAAGTCACGTCCAGTACAGTGCTGACAATGAACCTCTGATTCCCACCCCACCAGTACCCGTCCCAACTCCAGGTCAAAGAAAGGTTGTCCATGGAGAGAGGAGAAAAGAAAAGTGATAATAATAATGATAATAATAATTTATTTATAAAATGTAATAAAGTAAAACAATAAATAGAAAGAGTAAGATATATAGTAAAGTAATATGACTCTTTTCGGGGTCACCCTTGATCCGTTAGCTTCCTCTTTTTCTTTTCCTATTCGAAGAGTACTAATACCCCCACCACGAAGAGGTGGGTCTATTTGGGGGGGGGGGGGAATAAACCTCTAAAAGATAAAACTACTCCACCAAGAACTCAAATCAGAGACAAAAATATTTCTCTAAACTTTAGAACAAAGTTAAACACATTCCATGAATTAAGATCAAAGATAAGTACACTCCATTAAGAATCTAAATTTTTTAAAATACAAACATTCAACTAAGAATTTAGAACTCAAATCAAAGATAAAAATACTCAACTAAAATTTAGAACAAAGATAACACACTCCATGAATTTAGATTAAAGATAAACACTCTCAAATAAGAATCCAAATTAAAAAATACAAACACTCAGCTAAGGATTTAGATGAACGATAATGTCGTCTTAGACAGGAGGCCAGTTTACACAGTGTCATTATGATGGAAAAAAACAAAAAACGCAAGAGGAGAAAAGGAAAGTGGCTCATTGTACAAGCGATTGTCTTATACAGGTAGCCATTAGAGCAAGTTCGACTGTACTCCACTAGGATTTCAAATCCGAGACAACCATCAAATCATACCTCTACTCCCTGGGCTGTCGGTAAAGTCGTCTGGGTTGATGGGCGATGTGACCTCCCTATAGGACAAATGTCGCTGCTCTTTGCCCTCCTCCTCTGACGGGAAACCCACATAGCCGCGGGAGAGTTGCGGGCCTGTGGAGATAGAAACAGGAAGATGCAATTGATCGAGTTGGGAATTTTTTTTTGCTTTAGATTAGTTTAGAAAGAGTTTTACGGCACATGCAACACAAAACAATTAGGTAATATAAGCGCTGAAGATTAGAGGTGTTACTTTAGTAACATATAAATAAAAGAATAAGAGACAAGGATGATAGGTATTTGATAGGAAGATGAAGCTAACCACACCAGTACACCCGCCAACCACCCACAGTTTTGTTTTTTTAGTTGTTTTTTTTGTGACAGTTTTACAGCACTTGCAACACAATAAGATCATGCAAGTACCGAAAATTAGATAAGTTACAAGACAGTAACAAACACAAAAGAAAAGGAGGAGAGATAAGAATGACAGATGTTTGAAAGGAAAAAAGGAGCAAGCCACAGGAGAGTACCCACCAACCACCCAGTTTTGCTGTTTGAGCAAAAGAGAAGCACATAGACCCGGTAATAGGTCACTTAGGGCAGGGGAAAAATATGAGAGACAGAAAAGAGAAAGAAAATAAGTAAGACGTACATGATGGCCCTCCAACCTCCTAATTCAATAAACAGTTTGGGATAAACTATATATTTATATAAGATAAGATGAGATAACATTTTACTGATCTCCACCAAGCGAAACAAGCTGTGGCATGGTAAATACATCCATGTGCACATCAACATACTCTAATAGCAACACACACACACACACACACACACACACACACACACACACACGTCTACATACTTACACATACACACATGCACGCACTCGAATATAACATACATGTCTCTTCTCAAAAGATACGCTCTAGAGGCAGTACAATCAGTGATTATTTCAGAGCAACCTCAGCTTCCTAGGAAATATTCAGAGCAAACTGCCAATTTGCAGTGCTCAAACCAATCATACTGACAAAGAATTTCAATCTAAAAATTGTAACGCGCAAATTTTAAAATAACAAACGAAAAAAATACTGTTAATCTCACTGTGTCCTCCGGCAGTCTCGGGATTGCGGGTCCGACCAATCATGCGAGCAATAGCCTCAGGACCGTCGCGGATGCTGGGTCCACGAATTTTCCCTCGGACGTTGCCATTGGCCAGTTGACGTTTCCGGGAAGGAGCCTCGTCCGATGAGCTGAGATAAAAGTCCAACCCTGAGAGAAAGAGAAATAGGACTTTGCTTTTGCTTCTTTATCAGTTTTTGTTACACCTTTCGTCCCAATTGGTTTTTTTTTTTAGTTGTTTGGTCCTTGGTCCCAGATTTCATTACAGCTATTATAAGGATCACGGCAAAAAGGAGATTCAACAGAACTTAACTAACGTCATTCATTAATATGTTCATAGCTCTTTTATCTAAAGCAATTCAGACCGAAATAAAATAAAAAGGGACAACCTGTGGTAGAACAATTGAAATACCAGTCAAACCAAACCCCTTTATACCACCCCCCCCCCCCCAATTATACCATTAGCACAGCTATAATGCCAAATTCAATTCCGCTTGTCCCATAACAGGCAGTATAACGGAATTTGACTGCACCTCTGTTGAAAGACGAGAAATATACAGTGATGAAATGTGCCTGTAGCACTTTGACATGCTCACAGCCTAAAGGGGGTTAACTCTGTCCATAACAATCCATGATCCATCTTCCATACGCTAATCTGTTCTTTGTTGCCTGCCTGTCCCCTCCACTTTCTAATGCTTATTTTTTAATTGAAACTCCACTTGAACATTTTTACATCTTATTCTTTTGCCTTCACTTCAATGAACAAAATGTCTACTGTATCTGGTAAAACAAATCCAGTAACTGGCCTCTCCCAAAGCCGAATTCAAGAACACAGGGACTTGTCATAAATCTGGAAAACCCACAAGCTCAGGAGTTGAAACAAAAAATGCAATCGAAACTGTCCATGACAGCCACCCATTGTCGAGAAGAAAAGTGTTTGGTATAGACAGAAGAACGTCATGGATGGAATCATCATACTATTTTTTTTTTAAAGAATGCAAGGGGAGAAGTGAGAAGTGGTGATTTCGAAGGCTAAGAGTAAGACTCTGCTATATTTGAAAAATGACGTACGACAAAGTCTTCCACGGAGCTTTTAGTCCTAGTAAGAGTGTTACGGCACTTGCAACACAAATAGGTCATATAAGTGCAGACAATTAAAGGTGTTACTAGCGAATAACATACAAAGAAAAGAAGGAGGAGAGGTAAGGACCATAGACGTTTGATAGGAAAGAAAGTGCAAACCACCCACTTACACAGGGCATTCGATTTATTCTCGTGATTGTCTTGAAAAGTCTGTCGTCACTCGAGCAGGTTCAATGGTATCTGAATCTTCGTCACTTACCCGGCTCTGTCCTGAGGCAGCCTGGAGGCAGTATGTGGTTGTCGATGAGACTGACAATTTTCATGTACCCGTTGAGCAGAGCCGTTGACCTGGCCGTGTCGCCGTTGTACGCCTTGGCGTGGACATTCACACCCTGCCGTCAGAGACATACAGCACTAGGATAACCACCACAGTTGAAATATCACTGCCCTTTCAGCATTATTTAAAACTTTGCCCCATGAGACGCTGATCCGCAATGGTGTGATATATCAACTAAACTGCTGTAGCAAATGTCTCCTATTTGACATGTTAAACTTATAATTCCCTTTCTGAATGGATTGCGTGGCCTTTGAGGTGAAATATCAGTTTGTTTACAGCAATTGGGGTTAAAAAAAAATAAATTTATGTAGAGTAGACCTGGCATTCTATGAGTGCTGCTTTACACTTAGGCCATAATGAGAATTCGAGTGATCAGTGTGCTAGATCCAATGTTCTCAGTTCCTATTCTAATTCCTTTTTTTGAGAAATGAGATCATCACATTCAATTTTCTCAATACCCTGTAAATTTTATAATGGTTGCGGTATTTTTGCAGAGATATAGGTACAGTAGTCTCCGCCTAAATGCACGCCATACAAAAGCACGCTCCGCTCAAACACATGATTTCGTAATCGGACGGGTTTTTTACTATATAATTTAGACGTACAAACGCACGGTCACTCCCTCTAAACGCACGCTCCGATCCGCGAAACACACCGGCAGTTAAAGCTTGACAAAGGGTAATTCTCACAACAACCTGCACAGCTTGCATAAGACAAGCTTAGAAAACCGGATATTAGATGAGACTGCCCCTCACGCCGAGCAAAGAGTGATGGACAGCGTTTTCACACCCAACTTTCCACTGACACATAGGTCTAGGACTGGTCGGTGAAATGTTGGGGGGGTTGGGGGACTGAAACGTCTTTTGAATGGTCACTGGAAATGCATCTTTGTGAGAAGATTTCTGACTGGTGTTTGGGTGACTGCATCGCAATGTTTAGTTAGACCTAGGCCTGTGATACGCAACACACATGAATGCTGTAAAAAAAAAAAAAACCCACTAGATAGGCCTCTATAGGAATAACTAACTCACTGCCAGGCATTTCTCTGCAGGGTAACTGAGGAATGCCAGGCTTTCGGGACCATTTTCAAAAAATCACTGTGAGCTTATTATTTTGTGTACAACACTGAACTTTTCAACAAACAATTACATTGAAACATACTCAACAAATCAAAACAATTTTTGTGACCTTTATCGTGTGAAATTTTATGAGTTTGTGAATATGTAGCAAAATCAAGAAAAAAAACTTTTACATAACATTTAGGAGCTTGGTACATTCAGTTGATATGCATGCCTTTATATCTTTGTCTCTGCAAGAAATAGAGGTTGTATCACTGACAAATGTTGAAGAGTCACTATGAAAAGATATCTGACGAATTTTATATAACTGGAATATCATTTAAGTCATCAGTCCACCCATCCTGAGCATCAACATCTGGGTGTGTGGTTGCAGGACAGGGCATGGCCACTGGGGGAGGGGTGCCACTATTTGAAGTTTGTTTTGTAGACCTAGGAAGGTCTATGTCAGCTGTATTCCTATCATTTGGGGTCTAAATCTACGTTTTGCGATCTTTGACGTTTGCGTGACGGGCCTGAACTGGGACCGGGAAGCATCGGATCATTGGTCTGAGCATGGGGAACACCTGATTCTAGATCTAGGCCTAGATCTAGCACAATTTTCATCTTCACTTGTGTCCGCACCTCTCCTATTTCCTTTCCTATACTCATTATCAACTCTGTATGGTAGTTCATTATCACTATCATCTGCAAAAAGATCTAAATCTGACCCTTTTTTGATGAATGGGTCCGTCAATTCATATGTTACGACCTCGTTGAGACGCCGTCGCCATTGTAACTGAGCGTTAGTAGTTTTTAGTTCAATTTGGATGAGTTAGAAAAAGTCTGATTATTAAGTAACTTATTCAAGGAAAGTTACCGCAACAATGCGGAATCGAAACTAAACTGGCTTATGTCGCCTGCTTCCGACTGCCAAGCCTAAAACACGTCAGGGAATGTTTGAAAAATAGTAGTAAAAACGCACCCGACGGGTTTCGGGTTTGGCAGATAGCGGTCTACGCGGATCACCCGACAGGGTTCGGGCACGGCAGTGAGTGAGTTAAAGATTAGTCAAGTAAACCTAATCAGCTGCGCTCGAAGAACTTATAACGTACTTATTCAACTAATCCTAAAGGAAATGTTTCTCTGAATGTAAAGATTTATGATTCTGATGTCGTCCATGAATGTACGGTAGGGGGTGGTCGCATGGAAAGCCACATGGCTGGGCCATCGTCTCTATGACTATCACCAACAGTTTCCCCTTAAGCTATCTGTTCCTGACATTTTATGAGAGTTTTTTCTTCCTCCCCCCCCCCCCCCCTCCATTCAAGGCCTTTGTATTCTTAACCGCAGTCGGGGAATCCGTCACAAAACAGTCACGTGCCGTCACATTATCAGCTCAAAGTGACATCCACCCCAAAGGGAGGTCACTAGAATATCAAGACAATGAGATGACTGCGTCCCTTCCTCCCTTTGCAAAGGTTCATATAAACGCACGCTCCGTATAAACACATGCTAAGGAGCCCTCCCGAGCACCGTGCGTTTAGGCGGAGACTACCGTATAGTACTGATGTACCCCATCTGCATCCTGATCCGAAGGGACAAAGGTTGTGCACTCTGCATGCTGCATGGGTGGAAAGTGCTAAATCAATATAAAGGTGGAGTTGACCTGCTTCAAAATTTACACCTAGCTTAAGCAGGGACCAGTGACCAATTACTCAAGATATTTGAAAAATTTTTTAATCAGAGTGTTCAGAACTGAATTGACAACAAGAATATGCCCTTTTTTCAATATCCAAAATTTTCGACAACTGGGACCTTTCTCCAGGCACACACGCACAATTTTGTTTTCTGGGCTCAGAACAGTTGAACAGCTTGCCAATAAAATGTTTTCCCACAACTCACGTGTTTCAGAAACAGCTGCACAATAATCTCGTGGCCCTCTGACGCTGCTTTCATCAGTGGAGTCATCCCTGTGCCCGGCTCTCTGCGAGAACAACAACAAAAAAAGAGTTCAGTTTAGAGTGAGATAAGAGAAGCACCTGCGCTCATATGACCTTAGCAGTTGCGAACGCCGTAAAACCCTATACTACTACAGAGAAGCACCTGACCAGACCATTAATAACTTACTTACCGAGAAACCAGTCATCCATGTCTAGGTGCTGTTTTAGCCTCAAAAAGAGAAGAACATTGGCACCAATAGCGGTCATTAAGTCTGGTCGGTTCTACATTTTCACGCTTTTCCTGTTTCTCCCTTTTGCTCTCGGCTCTCTGACTCTATCTTTGTGCACCCGTCTGTCTTTAAATCTATTTTACTGTAGGTTTGTCCGTCTGTCTGTTTGTCTGTCTGTCCATCTGTCCCTGACCATCCATCCATCTGTCTGTCCGCCATCAATCTCTTTCTCTCGATTATCCTGAAGTCATTTATTAAACCACACTCAGATCTCTCTCATCTTAGATTCCCGAACATTCCCTGACCCTACGGCCATTTTTCATTTATTCCACAACTACCCTTCACCCTATTTCTTTTGTTCTCAAATTTTTTGGCCTTCAGTCAAATGCGTATAACTTTAAAATGGCCTTTCTGTGACTAATAGGGCAAAAAATAATACCCCAAAAATGACTCTTTTCCCATCCCCCAAAACATCTAAGGAATGTAGTGCAACATACAACATATCAGCCCTTAGAAGCATAATTCCTAAAATTTTGGAAATACAACAAAAATATGAATAAATTACATACTCCACTCAAATCTCAAACTGAAATCTGCAGGACTGCTGGATTTTTTTCCTTTCAGCAAGATTTCCTTTTAGAGAAGTTGCTCAAATAACCAAAAAAAAGAAATCGAAGATTTTATTTTTCTACAGTCTTACTGCTGTTTTCCTGATTTACCATTTTCAGTTTAAGCGGACTCCATTGTATCTATCATTAAAAAGACTAGAAAAAATCAAAAGAGTGATTGCACTACAAACTACACAAAACCAAAATGTTCAACCATCATTTTTTCAAAACAGTGATAAAAGCGCTAAAGACAATATATGGGCGTAATGAGTCATCACGGGTGTGGGACTTACAGAGCATCGGTGCTGGCCCCGGCCTCCAACAGAAAAGCCACAAAGTTCTGGTGTCCGGCGTACGTGGCGTGAAACAAAGCAGTCAGTCCGAACTTGTCCACTAGGTCAAGTCCCGCTCCATTCTAAACAAATGAAAATGAAACAATAAACACAAACAGTGGAACCAGCATTGCTCAGTGTTTTTCTTCCCCATCGACACAATTTAGGTCATTTTGGAGGCTGGCTTTCAAACCCTGCCTTTCAGGGACAACTGGGCAGAGAGGGATACAACATCACAGCAGAAAGACCAAGATACTCATTAGAAATTCTCCCCACTCAGGAATTAAAGTCGGGTCTCCTGCATGCGACAGAGAAGCGTGTGTAACCTTTACACCAGACAACGGTCACAAATAACGGTATAACAACCAAACTGGTAATGGAAATGGAGTTCAAGTAAAAAGAAACACATCAACACAATAACAGGCATTTAGTTCCGGGGAGAAAGCAAGAGAAACCAACAGAAACAACAGAGGGAAAGGAAAGAGGTAGAACCTACCGGTGGAGCCCTCCAACAACTCGTGACACGTGCTCAACACATTGCTTAAGAGATAGGACCTCCAAATATGACGTCCATCTCCACGAGGACCCTGTCTTGTGGGTGCAAAACTCCCTGAATACTTTGCATAAGTCGTGTCAGTTCAGCCAGTCCACAGTATCACCGGGTTGTTTACATTCGTAACAAAAATCTACCAAACTCCAGCTAATCCTTGTTATCTTATAATCAGATTATTTGTTTATCGCTCTGATCAGGCATTTCTATTCAGTTTGTCATTCATTTTAAGTAAATAGGTTAATTAGAGGCGGAGTCATAAGGGAGTCTGTAATGTTGAGAACTTGAATAACAAAACTGAGTGCCCACAAAGAGGAAATCGCTGTTTCATATACAATGTGAGTCCACGACAAAGTTCAGGAACTATCCACTGGGGATTCAAACTAAAGTCATCCCTGACTAGAGTGCAAAAAGAAGTTCCAACTCACCCTGACAAGCGTGCGCGCAACAGTCTCATTCCCACAGCTGGCCGCCAACATGAGCGGGGTGTGCCCGCGAGGATTCTTGACATCCTTACTGCAGCCGGCGTGGATGAGCAAGTTCACGATGTTGTCGTGGCCGATGTAGCAGGCATACATGAGTGGAGTCCAGCCACCGAGGTTTTTCCTGTCCAGAGAATCCGCCTCCTTTCTGTTCAACAGTTTGAAATAGTTCATTTAGAAAGAGACAGTCGGCAACTTATTGCTGGTTCTGATAACGAATATATGTGAGGTTGATATTTCAAGAAGTGTTTTTCACTTTGATAATATAACACATGCTCAATAATAATTGAATATAAATATAATAACCAAGGAGTACTATATCAGATACAGTACTCCTTGACAATAACATGTATAATAAAATATTGAAAACAACAACAACAAAAAGAGGAGGAAGAAAATAAATAAGCATAGAGTAATAAATTGATAACTAATAAACACCTAAAATAATAAGAATGCAAAACAAATAAAAAAAGACTTTTTTAATGAGGAAGACGACGAGGAGAGAAGGAAGAGGTAAAGACAAAAGGAGGACAAGGAAAGCAGTTGATTCAAAAAGCATCTCAACTGTCTATGCGCTGCTATGGACTGATCTCAGGACTATATGTGAGGCAGCGTGGTGGAATCAGGCTCTCGTCAATTTTTGGGCATGTAAAGTTATTGGTATCATCTTAAAGCTTCTTCACTCGTCTTTACTTGGATAAAAAAAATATCCATTTATCTAGAATACAAATCAAGATATTTGCAAAAGAAGGAGGTGGGGGTCACCTGTTTTCAGAGATAAAATTAGCGAGAAAACGGCCGCCAAAGATTAGTTATTTCTTTAGCTTAAGAGTCCGAGGTAACTGAAAATGGTCATTTTTTGCGCCTTTAATCAACGTGTTTCAGAAAAATCCACACATAAATGAGTTCTTTACATTACATGAAAGGTGTTGAGCAAAAAAACAAAAATTTGATAAAAATTCACAAACCTGCGTAAAAATGAATGTTTCTTCACTTCGATTATTTTTTTGAGAGCCTGATTCCACCACGCTGCCTCACATATATACTATATTTCTCAATATTAATACCAAAGGTAATGAAAGAGAGATATATACATTTTTAACAAAAATACAACCTTAATATCATCTGCCTGGAAAACAACATACAGAGGTCAAAAACAAACAAACAAACAAAAACAACAAAAGAAACTGAATGTTGTCATGTACTTGTAACAGTGACCTACTTGCTGATGATGGCACGGACCCAGTCGTACTGACCGATGCTGCAGGCGGTGTGAAGGTCAAGGGGGACTGGGGTGAAGTCCTCCCAGTCGATGGCGCTCCAGCCCCGCCAGACGGACAAACTGCGGTCCAGCAGCTCATTCTCCGATGCCTCGTCAGACGCTTCATATGACAGATCAGACGACATCCTGTTAAATCAAATCATCAACAGGATAGAGTCACCTCCTTTCAATAGACATCGTATCTTTGCTGTCACATGTTAAAAAAGAGTCCCTTTAAATTTCCAGCGTTTTCTTGCTCTCATCCATTAAAGCATGGTCAAAAGGAGCGCTGCATTTCCCTTGCAACAGTGACAATAGGAGGCATTACATTCTCAACATTTTGCTTGGTTTAGTTCATTCCACAACTGCAATATTTGGGGAGGTTCAAATACATTTTTACATTGTTGTTTGTTTAATAGGTGGTCTTAAGGTGTATTCTCAATATTTTTCTCATATCATGCTTGTTATTTTGTAATCATCTTTTTTTTTCTGACACTAGTACATATAGGTTGTGGGTCACATCTTCGTTGACATGTGGTAGAATCTCTATCAGTACAAAAATTTATTACATATCCCTCCCTCCCTCCCCCTCTCCCTCTCCCTCTCTCTCTCTCTCTCTGAGGTTAAAAAGAGCACATTTGAACTGTTCCAAAGCATTGTGTACTTTGAATGACACTTTTTTTCATTTAGGTCTCGTTCTTCTATTATTTACGAGCTGAATTTTCTGCAGCTTTCTTTGATGTCAAAAGTGGTTCACACTGCTCAGCTTTGCAAAATTTCTGTTCTCATTAGGGAACTCTGATGTCAAATCAGTGAGCTTTCAATGTCAAACAAGTTTGGATTGTGATACAGCACAGAAATAATATACTTGTAATTTATAATTTATACTTGACTAAATTATCATTATTACTTTTTCTTGTGCAAAGGAGCAAGATCAAAATTGTATTATATAACCTTCTACTAGAAGGTCACACACATTACACATTCGAATTTGACAGTCGTTGTGAAAGAATATACCATTAATTATGTGACAGAGAGGTTTTCAGGCAAAACGCATGCAGTCGATATCATTATTAATTATAATCTTTCGCCTGTAAACCGTAAATACTGACCGACCATTGTGTTTGCTAAATGCAGTCACCCATATTTCAATGGTCTAAAGATTAAGAGGAGCTCACAGTGCCAACGCTCAGCCCCGCGAGTCATAAATCGACTGATGAGATCGTGAATTCCACACAGCTGGTGTATTTTCTTATTACGTCAGACTACACGTTTGAGATAATTGAAAAACGGTTTTTATAGGGACATCTTGTCCCCGTCGGATTATATGAATGTGCGGCCGCCGCGCTGCCATGTTTTTTTGCTTACTTCTCTGCAACATTTGCATGATTTTGGATTCCCTGTGTTTTTCACATTTTAAAATAACTGTGGTTAGCTGTGTGATTCTCGGGAAAGTAGTCGAGTACGGTTGACATTGAAGAAACCAAGGACAGGCCGAGGCGTGAGCCACGGACTTTTGAAGACTGCGTGAGTAGCGGTCGAGGCGCAGCGCAGAGAGTTGCGACGAGTCAGTGCAAGTTGGATCGCTACATGAGGTGGGTGTGTGTAGTAAAACCGTATGCATGTATAGTTAAACTACAATAACATTTTTCACAAAATAATTTAACGCCTCGCCATGTTACTGAATGGAAGTGGAAGTAATCATAATAAGTCTTATTTAAATGACAAGTTGGTTATTTCCCTTGTTAGAGATGTTTGTTCCTTGAGCATGTTCAATTTTTCAATCCATCAAAAGTTGTTTTCAAGTCTGCTGATGTTTCAAGTTTGCCAGGTGCCCCTGGCTTTAGTGATGAGACAGCATCAGAGGTCCAGATGTTCTGTTTTTTATATTCAAATATATTTCTTTCCTCTATACAGCTGAAAGTTACAGAGATTGTATTTTTTGGTTGTTTCTTTTTTCTGACTTGTGTTTCACAAAAAAACTACTGATACCGATAGCATGTTCTGTTATCAATTCTCCTGTACACATACATCTCTGAAACATGAAAATTCTTGTACTGAAAAAGTGCAAAACATCGTGAATGGCGTTACGGTAACTAGCATAATTTTCCATTCGTCTTGCATAATTTGGCCATCTAAATTTGCAATTTAGAATAATTCTGTGGGGACAGGACATGCATCTCACCGAGCACTTTCAAAAATGCAAAAAAACGATTTTCAAAAATTTGTGGAATTCACTGTTTTATCAGGCGATCGACAAAGTAGTGCAAGCAGTCTGGCAAAAATCTTCTATAAAACTATAACAGTATAGTTCAAACACTACAGACTACCAACACGACAACAGAACACAACACACTACACTATCTAAACTAAACTGTCTACAAAACTAGATTTTAGATCTAGTGAACTGACAACACACATCTTCATACATGCAACTAAACGTAGAACAACGCATCTTCCTGATTGGCTGCTAATCTGATGTCATCACTACCTGGAATACCCACAGACTATCTTTATTATAAGGCCGTGGAGGTGTAGCAAAGATCGTGTTATTTATTACACAATACAGTACGAAGAGAATCTTTGGAACCATCGAAAGGAACGACATGTTGGATCAGAGGTAAAATTTCACACTTGCAGCTAACTGTAGCACGTCAGCCATGCTCTGGCGAAGGAAGAGATGGCTTAGATTGTTGATGCTCAGAACCGTAAGAACGCTGTCAATGCTTGAAATTGAAACATGGTAAACGCAAAGACAATATCAATAAAGCGCCCTAAAATTGCCGCAAAGTCGCCCAGAGATTATCCCCCCCTCCGGGCCCGATAAATAATGCGCAGAAGAGATAAGCAGCAGCATCGTCGGAGCACTGCATCATATCACATAATTACCGGGAGAGATCTACGTCTCCTGGATAAATGTCGTGCCAGCCTTTGCCATGGTAGGTATACACGAGTGACGATCTTTTGTTCCATGCCGTTGGCTATGTTTAGATCATGTAGTCACGTGATCGGAGGGGTATCCTGGTCTGATGTCACACAAGATGGCCGTCTTCTTACCTAAAAATAGTGGGTGTCGTTCTAACATGCCGTTAAACTTAGAAATGACGCATCTTTCTGATTGGCTGCTAATTTTAGTAATGTAATGTCATCACTTCCTGGGATACCCACATGGAACGACGTGTTTTCGGTAACATTTCGGATTTTCTAGCCTAGATCTAGATCTAGATCTAGAATCTAGATCTAGATTCTAGATTAGATCTAGATCTAGATCTATTAGGCCTACCTGGACATGATGGAAGACGGCACGAAAATTGCCGTAAAGACGCAGGAGGACTAGATAATATCTAGTTCTAGATCTAGATCTAGATATCTAAATTTAGATCTACCAACCCCCCCCCCTCCTGCATTTTTAATCACTAATACATTTAAAAAAATAAACAACAACTTCAAAGTCAAAGCAACTCTACAAATTAGGCCTATAATTTATGGAACTGTTGGTCAGTCGGGAGCAGGAAAAGAGAAAAGAAAAACTGTCCGGGACCGGAATCGAACCGCTCCAAAAGTCATTGCTCGACATCAAACGCAGACGCGCTATCAAATCAGCTATCAGAACTTCCGAAAAATGGTGTAGATTAAGCATAATATATACATAGACACTTCCATCTTTGGTGCCGTGCGGTTGTCTATACTTAGATGTAGTCACGTGATCGGAGGGGTATCCTGGTCTGACGTCAAACAAGATGGGCGCCTTACCTAAAAATAGTTTGCATCATTTCTACTTTTAATCGCATGTGTCGTTCTACGTTTAGTCGCATATCATCATCATCAGCAGTTTTCCTTAAAATTACCTGTAGCCTGTAGAGTCTAGATCTAGATATCTAGATCTAGATCTAGATCTAGATATCTAAATTTAAGTATCATCAGTATCTTAGACTTAGTCTTGTCTTGGTCCCTGCAGTCATCGATGATCGCTTGCTAAACTCCAATCTCCAACAAGGTCCAAAGCAAAATAATGACAAACACATGACCTGTGTCTTTAACTTTAGACTTTACGGAGAAAAATTAGACCTACTTATTCATCTAGAATTAGATATAGACGACCAAGTGACTGGTGATGACATTTTTTCGTGCGATAACCTCTAGTCTAGATCTACAGTTCTAGATTTCTAGGTGTGCAGAGTGCAGGGTGTAGGGAGAGACGCTGGAAGAATAGAAAGAAATTCAAAACCGGATGTTGTTAGTAGAAGAAGTGGAAGACGGAAATAGATTTTTGTGTATCAACATAAAGTTTCGGTAAAAGCACAATTACAAATTGAGAATCGAAAATATCAAAGCCCACCTCTTGGTAAAGTGGCTGTTCAAATATTATAATCTTACACCTTTTTGGGGACTTTGTGACCCCCCCCCCCCTATTCTTACACTTTTCTTACACTTGCCTACCCCCCCCCCCCCCACCCGTAATATTACATTGTTCGCTTATAATACTTTTTGCCATTTATATTCCACAAATCCGAGTTACAATCATTGATCCATGCGCTATACATAATATGGGAGGACTTCCGTAACGAGCGACCACTATTAAATCTAGATTATACTCAATGGCTTACAAAATCCTGATGGGAGACCGAAAGCCACTGTTATACCATCTATTCATGACAAAATTACGTGAAGAACATGAATATGTTCCGCGTAATTTTTTAAGCCACGGAATTATACGATCGTTAAAACGTGCAGTGCAATCTTAAGATCGGTAAATTGCGCAGAACATAGATTTCCACAGATATCATACGTTACATAATAATGCGCAGTTCTACATTTACTAAAAAAAAAATTACAGAGTACATCATTCAAGCAAAATAATTATATTGCATACATTTTTAGAGAATTGTTTTTACAGTACATGTATATTAAAAAGGTCAGGTGGTAATGATTAACGCATCATTGCCGAACACCTCTTTTAATCTTTTTAATAGCTGTACCCTCCCCCAATTAATGTATTACAGCAGCTAATCATTCTTAGAATGCTCTTGGTAATGATTTAGGCGATTTTATGGAATCAGCAAAATGTAAGGCATCGTGGTGAAATCAGACACTTGTCGAAATACATGTGTAATTATAAAATCGTTGAGACACCGCATATCCATCGGTTTGGAAATTGTTTATATCTGTTGTTCTTTTGTTTTTGGCTCAACATCGTTTATGTCCAGTTATAAACACAATTCTTTGTGAATTTTACTGATAAAATTAGATTAAAGGCACACAAAATGTTAATTTTCTATTTCCAAGGACTCTCAAGCGATAAGAATGACCAGACTTTAGCGGCCATTGTCTTGCTTATTTTAGCTCAGAAACCAGAAACTTCCCTCAATCGCAAACGTCTCGACTCCTATTCAAGATAGATGGTTATATTTTAATCGGAAGCAAGACAGATGAACAAGCTGTAAGGTGATAGCAATAACTCCACACGCCACCAAAAATGACGAGCGCCTGATTCCACCAAAATGACGAGCGCCTGATTCCACCGAGTCGTGACAAATGCTTCTGCACGCGTATGAAGCCGTTTAAAATTACGTACCTATCATTCTATCTTCGGGGCTATTCCAAGTGTATGGCCTCCTTGTTGAAGGTGTTGTAAATCAATCAGTGTGAAATTATTGTCTTGTCACCATTCTTTTGAACGCTAGCCGCGTTCGTTTTCTTTACCTAGCCTATGCGCTTCTCCTGGACCTCCCAGCCATGGTAGAATGTTACAAGATTGCTCTATATAATTTGAGAGTTTGCGCGAGTGATCAGCACCCAGTGCATGACAAAGAGGAAAGAACTGTACGCACACCTCTGCTTAGAGAGACTGAATGGATAAAATGAGGCAGCGACGACTTTCGCTGAGCTGTGAAGTGCAAGACATCCGAAGAGGCAGCGCATGGGTCAGCGTCACTCGACACACTTGGGCAGTAGAGCCGTGGTAGAGACGCTGATAGAGGAGGACAGCATGGATCCACACTCACTCATGAAAACGATCACTTTGTTATTTCATTGAAGTATTTGAGTATTGATGGCAGTCATAATTACAGCACTTTAACAGTACTGTAGTTGTAACTTAAGTTTTTGTTATCCTCCACCTTCAGATTGGTGTTGTAGAGATAGACCCTCTAAAATGTTAACTCAGCTTGTGTTGTTCAAGATTTCTTCCTTTTTGTGTGCAAATCAAAGTGAATTACTCAGTAAAATTTCAACAATGAATTTTCTTTCGTTAAAAACAATTGAAAAATGAAATTGAATTAAAGCAATCAATCAATCATTCATTTACTATATTTGAGAGTGCCCTTGATAACTTCCATCATGCAGGGCACAGTCGAGGCGGGGTGGGCCTGTGACAAATTGGCATGCTTCCGTGTAAACGGGGTCAAACACAGAGAGAGAGGGGGGGGGAG